TATATTAATACGATATCCTGATTTTTAGTAAGTCCCTCCATGAACATGAGGGCCATCCGAGGCAGATCTTGGAGAAACTGAGGGAAGCTAACTTCAAGATTAATGCAAAAAAGTGTGAGTGGGCCAAGACCGAAGTCTTGTACGTGGGCCACATGTTAAATTGACATGGCATCGAACCAGAGGACGGTAAGATAGCAGCGATTAGGGACTGGCCAACCCCTCGCACTATGACTGAGCTGTGATGGTTTTTAGGATTGGCCAACTACTATAGAAAGTTTGTAAGAAACTTTTCTACTATCGCTGCTCTCCATTCGCGGAAGTGGAGCGAGGCTCCAGTTCTTTTGAAGCCTGCCACCTGTGCTTTGAGGTCTGTTGTTTTCTTTTTTTTTGCTTATTTGTTTTTTTCTCTTCTGTGTACATTCACAAATGTATCAACATGTACAATGCAGTCTCGATACGTGTATCAATAATGAGTAGTAGAGGACACTACCATAGTCCAGAAAACGAAGGTGCAATGACTGAGAATGAATCTTCCACTACCCCACGGAAAGATACACACGAGTATCATGGCTCTGCGCAAGGATGAGGCCCCCACCCGAGCCGTCAACAACTCACCTGGCAGTCGCGGCAGCCAATAGGGGAAAAAACAAGAAGACAAACGGGAAAAATAAAAGAACAATGGGAAAAAAAGGCAAAGGGAAACCGGTCGCTCCCCTGGAGGACTAGTTACCCACTGAATTTGTACATCTCACAAGTTGCATTCAGATGTTCAGTAGCTTCTAAAGAAAAACGTTCGGGAAGATTGGTTCGAGGGTACTGGTGGTTTAAGGAAGTTAAAGAAGGCCTTGGTAGAATATTCTGTCCTCAAGGTAGCTGATCGTTCATTACCCTTCGTAGTCACGACAGACGCAAGCCAATATGACATAGGCGTTGTGTTACAGCAGAATGATGGCGATGGCTATAGACCCGTAGAGTTCACGTCAGCTAGGCTGCCATAAGAAAAAGTAGCAACCTCGACGTATCAAAGAGAATTCTACGCTCTCAGGCAGGCCTTAGATCATTGGAGACATTACCTGCTTGGGAGACACTTAAAAGTCTACTCAAATCATAAAACTTTGAGATGGCTGAAGACAAACCAAGATGACGCCCAAATTGACTAGGTGGGCAGCAAAAATAGATGAATTTGACTTTGAGCTCAAACCGGTGAAAGGTAAATATAACGTGGTCGCCGATGCCCTGAGTTATGTGGACATAGGGGCAGATCTACAACAAAGGATAAAAGATGCATATCCTAAGAACCCGATCTATAGTGATCTCCTAAGGAGAGTTGAGGAAACCCCTGACAGTGAGCCAGATTATCGGACCACAAATGGGCTACTCTTGGAGAAGACAATGTCGTTGATAGACTGTGCGTTCCCAATAGTGAAGAGATTCATAGTTTGATCCTAGGGGAATGCTATGATACAGAAGAACACTTTGGCTGGCCAAAAACCTAGCCAACCTATCGATGTCGTATACATGGCCCAACATGAAAACTGACTGTATAGAGTATGTCCGCGACTGCAAAGTTTGCCAGTGCAACAAGATAACGACAAGAACACCTCTAGGTCTTCTTAGACCCTTGCCTATCCCAGCAGGACACAGAGAGTCTGTTTCCATTGACTTCATGGATACGGGGGTTAGGAGTAGGCATGGGAAAAGTCAAGTCATGGTCGTGATAGATGGATTTAACATGCCATTTTCGTGCCTTTGGCCGCAGAGGCAAGAACTGACTTAGTTATAGAGAAGTTCTTTGACTTCTGGGTAAGTGAGCATGGCATATCGCTGTCAATAGTTAGTGATAGAGATACACGGTTTACCAGCCAGAACTGGCAAGATCTCATGAAAGTTTACGGTTCTAAGTTGTTGATGTCATCCGATCGTCATCCAGAAACAAACCGCCAAACAAAACAAATGAATAAGATCTTGCAGCAATTACTGATAATGTATATTAGACCAGATCAAGTGAATTGTGACGAGATGCTTCCCAAAGTTCTAGTGCCTACAACAACAGTGTACATCTATAGCTACTTGCAGAACTCCTAATGAGCTGCGTAAGTCCTTTAGACCACGTAGGTCGTTTGAAGGACTAAACTGGGACCAGATTCAGAGGTTACCATCCGATACAAGAGAGTTTGCTTTGCAGCACGAGAAGGAAGTGCAGAAGGTGATTGAAAACCTTAGAAAAGCCCAACATCGCATGATTAAACAAGAGAAAAAGCATCACAGACCCTCGCAATTCAGGGTAGGCGACTTAGTCTGGGTCAAGTCAAAGGAATTCGCACCAGAAGAAAACATCTCGCAGAAGCTCTTGCCCGCATATAGAGGGCCTTGGCCTGTCCTAGAAGTCAAAGGTGGAGAGGATGGACCATCATATACGATACAGATTCCACCACACCTCCATACGTCCATGCATCGAAGTTGTTACCTTGTGTCACCATTCAACAGTTTCCTTCGCGGGGATCAATGATTCCGACAGATATGGATGACACCTATGACATAGACGAAATACTAGAAGAAGATGTATTCCGGACTGGACGTAGAGGTCGTCCCCAGAAACAGTACAAAGTCCGGTTTGCTTACCAGGAACCTGTGAGGATGAGAGATGTTTCACTAGGACCGAGCTTCTAGAAGCCGCTCCTGACATAGTGCATGCTTACGAGAGAGCAAGAAAAGGTCAAGGTCCTGCCTTGGAGTAAAGAGTTCTCGGAGGACCTCGAATTTAGGACGGCAGGAGTGAAAGGGTCTTCACCCAGTTCGCACGACAGTCGTAGATGCCATGACTCGATCCCTAGACCTGCCCTAACCCCTTGTACAGGCGCCCGTTGACCCTATGTGTTTTGAACCCTCAACCTGCCCATAGAAACATGTGTAAACGTTTTGTGTATGTAGTTTGGGTCGTGTGGACTTGAACCATAGACCTGTGTATTAGCAGTCTTAGGGTAGGTCCGTAGATCTAGCTCTACATCTCTCGAAAGGACAGTCAGCCGTAGTCTAGACAATTCCGGAAGAGTCAACATGACCTTTCGAAGTGCCGGGAGGCAGTCCGTCAATTTCTGAAAGGTCAAGAGTGCCAAGTCAAACACCAAAGGGGCAAACGAAGGACCTGTGTATTAGCAGTCTTAGGGTCAGTCCGTAGGTCTAGCTCTACGTCTCTCGAAAGGACAGTCAGCCGTAGTCTAGACAATTCCAGAAGAGTCAACATGACCTTTCGAAGTACCGGGAGGCAGTCCGTCAATTTTGGAAAGGTCAAGAGTGCCACGTCAAACACCGAAGGGGGAAACGAAGGTGCAGTCCCAGTCTACTCCGTTTTTGCAGCAAGTACCAGAGTGGGACTGCACATCTTGAGGGCCGGGTACATCGGCAGGCCAGACCACCAAACGAAACAGTATAAATAAAGAGGCAGCGATCAGTCAGTCACCTATTATCTAGGGAACTACGTGGAAGCGCTGTTGAAGTGCCTTTTGCGTTGTGTTCGCTGGTGGTCAGACCCCAAAGGTGGAAGAGGGTGAGCGGCCATAGCCGCTAGTCAGGAGGAAGACGACGGCGGCCATAGCCGCCAGTGTGACAGAGTCAGTACTTAGTGTGTGTGTGTGTGTATGTGCATGGACATTCAGGGTAGATCCTAGTGCATGTGTGTGTGTTCGAGTGAGTGTGGGTGTGTCAGATGGTGGATATAGTGTGAAGGTGGGAATTCAGACTGGCGCTCGGACGCCATAGCTGCAAGATGTGACAAGTTGACTTGAGCTGAGTCTCTGGCTGAAGGCCATACCTCTGAGTTTCCTGTTGGGCACACTGCACCATCTCACTCTTGTTGCTGATTCTACTTCGAGAAAGTTGTTTTGCCATTAGCACCTGTATGTATGCATGTTGCAAGCGAAGTCTAAGACAAGTCTGATTGCATCTGTAGCAGCGAGTGCCAGGACTTACAGAGTTGGAAGCGTCATCATCAAGGTTTCAGCTTGAATTCAGTTGTGTAAATTGTGTCTGCGCAGATATCTCGAAGGTGCAACAGTGTGTGTGCCGTATCTGGCGAGTGTCATTCTGTAAATGCTTTCAGAATTTTGTGGCAGTTTTTTTTTTTTTTTTTTTGACCACTAGTACCTTTGGCGTCCGGTTTCGACAAGTACTGGCCAGCTCCCGAACTTTCAGGAGGCTGAGGCCGAGGTCGATCAATTTGATCAGCGGCCGTCGTTTCGTTTCGGCCTCCTGAAACTTCGGAGGCCGAGTATTTTCGAACCGACAAAGGTACTAGTGCTTTAAGACACTAGCCCCTTCTGTTATGCTGGGCAGCAGTCCAGTTACTTTTATTACCGGCAAGCATGAGTTCAAGCAAAGAGTACAGACTCAGAAAGTTGCAGCCTTTCCCCCACGGCTTGAGACACCTGCCGAGGGGGGCTGCAGGGACAAGATGAGGTTCCACTCCCCAATCCCGTGCTCTGGGCCCATAGTGGCCGGGAAACTTTCTCTCAGAACCCAGACGCACACTATGGAGCCCGGTAGGCCCAGGGGGGCTAGACTCCCATCTTGTACCTGCACTCAACCGACTGCTCCCACTCTCGAAGCCTTTCCTTCCCCACAACGCAGCATTCAACGAAGGCAAACTTGATTTTCATGTTGGTGTGACTTCCATATCTGCATGCACATGTGCGCATGAATGATGCATGAGTGAGAGTCTCCTTTCAATTTGCAGATTTCAGATGAATGCATTAAATGGGCGGGAGGCTCCCCGTGGCGGTGACAGAACCAAGTTTGGAATGATGCAAATTTGTTGGCTGACACTTTTACCATCTTTCTGATCCATGTTCAGTTTTCGCCATAAAATTTCGACTTTCATCGTTTTCTTTCATCCTTGCTTCAATTTTTGTCCTCGTTTTCGTTTTCCCAGCGGTGTTTCTCCCTTGAATTGTTTTAGTTGTTGTGTCAGGACGGACTGACAATTTTAAAGTTTTCTTGGACAGGTTACGGATCGAGCTATCACTGCTCCAGTACCCCTTCCTAAGGCTGTTTCTAAGGAGCTCCTTCTTGCTAAGAATGAGACGAGGGCATCAAAGCATGACGAGATACAGCCAGTTGAGGAGACTATCAATCAGAAGCGTCAACAACGCCCACAGGTGCTGACGCATTTGAAGGTACGGAAGCATGGGAATCGTCTTTTGTGCCTTTGTGGGCGCATCTCGTAAACGAGTACCTTCACTCAGAGTTTCAGAGGTAGTTTTGAAATTTGGCAGTTATGTCCGATTGCTTTTGCATAGTTCATTCAACAATGTAGTCCTTTCTGTTGGGTCCCCCAAAATTTGCCATGCTGGAAAGGGAGATGGGGTGTCTTTTTCACCCCACAATTATTAGTATGATATTATGATTAAAGTGCAAACAGGGTCGAAACATTGGAGAGCTGAATCTTCGTTTGTTTCCAAAATGTGTTGTGCTGGTCCTGTGAACCCCTCATCCACTGCCTGAATATGCAAGCAAACTACAATATTGGTGCTTGAGTGTGCCCGAAAGTGGCACAGCCCCTCCCCTACGCTCCCCTTCAGTCCCCAGTGAAATAAGGGGGGCAGAAAATCTGAGAAGTTGTGTGAATGTCTGGACCCCAGACAGATCTGGAATTCCTAGGAAAAAATTGTGCGCACGACAGTCTGCTAAGGAGCAAATTGAGAGGAATGTGAGATCAACCCTGCATAGGACCCTCAGAATTTCTCTGTCAGTGAGCCTACAGGACCCTCACTATCAACACCCCGAGAATCAACCAAAGGATTCAATATCAGGTGACGAGCTTTGTGCTTTGTTGTTGTCTTTCCTTGACAGGGGTGCAGCAAAGGTAAGTCCTTCCGCAAAGGAAGTAATCAATGCCCCAGTCTGTGGCTCCTTTTGGAAGGATCCGGGATTGATGGTTAATGGCAGGCCCAAAATTCGGGGTTTTTTTCGCCGCATCACCATTTGCCAACTTCTTCGTTACTGGTTCAAATAAGTTGAAAGTTCTCGAAACTGAATACAGATATACCCTAAAGCACATACATAGCACACACAGACACAAAAAAAAAGAAACAAAACAAACTGCGAGGCATAAGGCCCCGATGAGCCCCTTCTGACCCTGCAGGCAGCACAGTGGGCCGCCCTAAGTGAAGGCAGGCCCGACCAAGGCTATATTAAGGCCTATTTTCAGGCCGCCACGCAACTGGGGAAAATTCAGGCAGTTGCGCAGCACCAGTTGGTTGAGAGCGCCCAGGCCCTGGCTGCCTTTTTCGAATGCAACTGAGGCAGGCCCTGGGCCAGATACCGAACCCAGGCTGCGGGCAGTTGGGCACAAGCAACTGTCACAGGCCCTGGGCCTGATTCGTTAGGACGGGGGCTCAGCCTCTCAGGTCCTACCGGAAGCTTCTGGGCCGAGGCCCAGCACAGCCTGGCCGCACGCAGCTGGCAGGGCACTTCCATTTAGGAAAGGCCCTGCCCCCGCATTCGATATTCGGGCACTGGCTGCATGCTGCGCTATACGCTGGCCAGCGCTCACGCGCTCACGGGCGAGCTGGATGAGCAGGCAGCCATAGCCGAGCTGCGCTGCTGTATGCTGGATGAGGCGCATGGTGGTCCTTGGGTGCACGTGGCGTCTGTGAGTGGGGGATCGAGGTTGTGAGTGATATGAGAGACATACCTGGTGCTTGAGGCGAACGGCATTGGCTGAGATCTGCTCGCACTTCGGGGAGCTGTTGACGTCACCAGCGGCATTGTAGATAGGCTAGATAGGATCTGCCACTTGTAGTCGGGGCGCAGAGTGCCAGATAGGATGTCGACATTGGTTCTTTGTTGATGATGATGAGACTATTCGAACATTGTCACTTATGAGCTTTTGCTGTGCTCTTATTTGGTGGGACTCGTGTTGCAATTCTGCTTTTGGTTCGAGGTCACGACTATCTGGTCTCGTGTGTATGATGCTGCTTGGTTTCTGAAGTTCGCTATCGCTCATTTTTCCTGCAAAACAAGAAAAAAGCAAAAAATCAGGGATCATTCAAATGTGGCAGTTTTGGTGAAAAATTTGCCGAAAATGACACCACCTATTAAGTTAGTCGTAACCATTAGTGGAGGATCCAGGCGCTCGGCAACACCGGAAAAGCCCCCAGGTGCCTGCCCCAAGTGAAGGCGGGCCTTCATTTCATTTTTGCCGTGGCTTAAAGTTGGCTGTGTGTGGACAAGGGGGCCTGCGAATTGGTTGCTGCAAGGCAGCATCTGCCACTCTACCCAATAGGCCCGGTAGTTGAAGATGCTGCGGCCCAGCCAGAGATGCGGATGTTATGTGACTGATTGATCCACAATCCATCATTGTTTTCACAAGTGCCCATATGTTATGATTCTGGTTGTTCGTTGTCTGAAGACCAACACTCACTCACATATACTTCCAGGTATGCCCATACATACACAGAAGGAAGGGGAGAGGATAGGAGTATCACACCGCACAGGGAGAGATAAACACAGCGGAAGACTTGACCATGCGATATGACAGGGTACACTGAAAGTGCAATTCACTCCACTCAATCCTCACAACCAGTCATAAAGAAAAGCCCAGCAGATCACATCCAGAAAAACAATGAAACGATGATAGTCCAAACTCAGTATCGCACTGTTTATTAAACTCAGAGTCTCGAATTGTCAGGATAACCTCAATACTACGGTGCGCTGCTCAGAAATGAGCAGCGCTTCACTCCCCAACCCTGAGTAACCACTCGTGACACCCCTGAACCCCTGAAACATCAAGCGGCACCCAGATACAGTCTCCAAAGGGAAGCGCCACCGTGAAACAGGCCTCTGAGGCCAAGCGCCACTCAGAGGATGAAGAAGAAGACCAGCGCCACAGTATCTGATGATGACGAAGTGTCGGAAGACTTCCCGGATGGAAGTCTGCAGCAGCACCACCAAACCCTGACAAGATGACCTCTGAGGAAGAAGCTGCAGCTATGGCTGCAGCGCCACAACCCTGGAACCCCTCTCTGGAGGAGGGTCCAGCAGGGCACCAACTTCTCTCGCCTCCAGCAGACCTCGATAGCCCAGACCTCTGACAGCCCCTGCGTGCTGGCAGAGTACAGCGCAGGTTCCAGCTATGGCCGACGCTCCGAAGGTCTGGCTATGCCTGTCTCCTTCCGCGCTGAGTCGTCACCACTTCCGGTTCACACGTAGCGCAACAGCGATGTACTCGCTACCAACTGCAAAAGCCCTGAACCGATGTGCCCCTCCTATCTATAGACTAAGCTAGCCTTGACTCGACCTAGACTGGACTGACTGACCGACCGGTACCATATCAGTTTCGGCCTCTCGGCCTCTACCTTACCCGGCTATAGGCTATAGGACCGTCTATCAGCATAGGCCCTTAGGGCCTGTCTGTCCTAGGGGTAGCCCGGGCCTGCTATTCGCAGTTAGGGTAGCAGTAGGAAATTCAGTTAGTGTTGGGCCTGTATTTTCCCAAATTTGCAGGTATGTCCCTCACGAATTTGCACTACAGGTAGGTTTCTCGGTTAGCCCTCAGCCAAACAAAATTACGAATCTAACCTAAGACGCGACCCGACCGAGGCAAGCCCGAGCTTCGCCCTCGGCCCAATGTACAGTCCACTGAGAATCTGCAGGCTTCATTACACATACACAAGTGCAACAGATCTGAAGAGAGATTTCAAACCACATCAAGATGGATATGCGCAGCAGAAATCCAATCCAAAAGTGGAATTGAGAGAATTATTTCAATTCTTAATATTCCCCCGTCTCTCTCCACATCGATCAGTCCCCAAAATCCAAGAATCTCAACCGCGTTTCAACAACCCAAACCATTCCCAAACGACAGTTCATCGAATGATCAGGAGTCTTCTTCTTCCTCCTCACTCCTCCACAACCCTGGCTATGGATGCTGGCAGCTGCAGACTACCAGCGCCATCAACCCGGAGCTATTCTGAACAGCGCCGACCGAATCTGAAGCGCCTAACCAGCGCCCGCACAGAAGTGCAGCACCAGTCTCCCTGAATGAAGAAGAAGCAACGGCCGGGCGATGAAGAAGATGCAGCTACTTGGCAGCATTCCAAACCCCAGCAGCACAGAATATGGGAGTCGCCCTCCTGTGCCCTGGGCACAAGCCCAGCACTGCTGTTCAACATGTCCCTAACAACTCCAGCTATGGCCGCAAGGCCATGAAGAAGCTAAGGACACGGGGCTGGCTAAAATTTGCACAGCTGGAATACTGCGTGACTCTCCCCTAGCTTCGCACGAAGGAAAATGGAAAAGAAACCCAAGTACCTTGTGTCTTGACACTTTTGTATGCGCCTACTCTAGCCTGCCAGACCCTACGCCCTGGGCACAAGCCCAGCACTGCTGCTCAACATGTCCCAAACAGCTCCAGCTATGGCCACAGGGCCATGAAGAAGATAAGGACACCGGGCTGGCAAAAATTTGCACAGCCAGAATACTGTGCGACTCTCCCCTGACTTCATGAAGGAAAATGGAAAAGAACCCCAAGTACCTCGTGCGTTGACTTTTTTGTACGTGCCTACTCTGGCCTGCCAGACCCTAAGGGGACAGACCCAACACCTACGACCCTAAGACTCCACGACAAGCACGCAGGCCTACCAGAGCAGTACTGTTACAAAACTAACACAAAATTGGGGCTGGACCCGAGCAGACAACCTTCAGGACTAGGCCTGAGCCCCAAACATCTCTTTTGCAGAAATGTCCCTACAGGGACTGCTGGTTCTAGGTAGCGGGTAGGAGCCCAAAGCAAATAGAAAATTAATAAATTATGAATCTATCCTATGTGAATGTACAGCCTGCTGGGAAACTGCAATTCATTGCACTGAGGCCCAGAATCCTTACAGTTGAGCCCCAGGCACATTCCTACGGGGGCAGTGTGCAGCCAGGCCAGGCAAGCTGCACGCGAGCCAGGAAGGATGAAGGAAAGTGAACCTCGCCCACTTTCATTTATTCTGGCTGGCTTACGTGAGGCAGTGCTGCTGGAGCGCGTGCCGGTGAGACAGAGCTGGCTGGAAGGTGGGTGTGCACGGGCGCTGGGGGAAGCTACTGGGCGCAGCTACAAGGCGCGGCGGCCATAGCCAAGCCACTGGCACAGGAAGCCAATGATGGGGTAATGGCGGAGGTTCTTGGGCGGAGAAGAAGAGCCCGTGGGGACAAGGGAAGTATGAGAGAGGGAAATGCACCTGCTGATGTGGAAGTGGACCACATGAGCAACTCTTCAAGATCATCGGGCAGCTGCAGAAGTCGACTGGATTGCGTCATAGATGCTAGGTGTCTAAGTGTCGTCTGATCGTAGTTGTGACAAGGCATAGGCAGAGCAGCGAGGCTGGGAGAGAGAGGGAGAGTGAGAGTTCACTCAACTCGACGCAGACTCGACACGACTCGACGGACGCAGACACAAAGTGGCAAAGTCACTAAGTCGCAGTCTTGAATTCCCGAAGCCAAGTTGCACTGAACACAAGCGCTGAGGCTGAAAAAAAACTGCCCGTACTGTGTGTGAGTCCGTACTTAAGCACCGGACTCGAGTACGGTCCTGAGGGCGAAAGTGAAAATGCGTCAGGGACGAAACTGAAAATCGAAAGTCTGAGAATGGGCGCCAGAATGCCTGATGGCGCCAAGTGTCCAAAATCAGGAAAAGCAGAACCAAAGTAAAACAAAACAAGAGAATCACAAAAAACAAAAAAAGAAAATAAACACAGCAAGCTGGCAGGTGGTAATCCGCAGACCAGGGATCGAGCCCTGACGGAGTCCGTAACAGTAGTCTGGTGGCTGAGCACCATGTAGGAGAGCGATATTGGAGGCATTGATGGTGGAGGCTAGAAGAGGGCTTACACTGTCAATTGACTTCATTGCTTTGCTTTTATTTGGTGCATCTCTGGTGCAATCTGCTTTTAGTTCGAGCATATGACTATCGGTTTTCTATGGAATTATGCGATTTGGTCACTCGCATTGCTCATTTTCCTTGCACTTTGACCAGAATGGAAGGAAGCGCCGTGCGAGTAGTGATGTAAGGGACCCTGGACCCGCTTTCCAGATTTCAAAAGACACTGTTTTGTGGGAGAAAAAAAAGGAAGAAAAGAGATGGTTAGGGAAATGTGGCTTTGGATTTTGTCAAAGTGTTTGGAGAGAAGATCTGCATGACGAAAAGAATGGAGGGATTGGATTTACAAGAGAAGCGGTTGGATGGCTGACTCACCTTGTTGTCTGCTGCATGGTGCATACAGGTTTTGCTGGAAGAGCCTGTTGCAGAGAAAGATGGGTCAACCAAAGGAGCAGAGAAGCTAATGGACAATGCCACTGAAAGGGTCAAAGAAGATGAGCCAGTCGCAAGTTCAACCGGAAAACATGCGGAGGAGTCGGAGGTGGCGGAGGAGCCGGCGGTGGCGGATGCGCCACAGATGCAGTCAGTGGCAACGGACTGCAAGGACCACTCGAAACTAAAAAGTGCGAGAATGGCATGCAAACGGCTCATGCAAATGAGGAATGCGACTATGGCATCCAATATCAGACTGCGGAAATTGAAATGGGTTTTGCTTAGCCATCGGCGCGTGCTAATGTGGCATATAGGAAGTCTTAGGGAACGGAATCATGAGCTGCTTGAACGCAATCAAGAGCTCGAGACAGTCCTTCAAGAGGTACTCCTACAGCATGGAGAGGTCCCAAGACTTGAGGAGACACTGCGAAATGCTGAAAGCACTCATTTTCCCATGGAGAACAATGTCCTTGCACATGTACAGCATGGAAAACAGAACGTTGATGAGAACAGGGCAAGTGGGGAGGAGGAGGAAGGTGGAGCTCGAGGTGGAGAAGAAGAAGAGGAAGGTGGAGCTCGAGGTGGAGAAGAAGAAGAGGAAGGTGAAGAAGGAGCAGACGACAGGGGGGGCAGAGGAGGTGGAGTTGAGTATCGGGTAAGTTCTCGCGAAGGAGGAGCCTCATTGGAACAGTACTTGGCTCTGAAGAAAAGGGGATCTCGCCAGGGGGCAAGTGAAAGAGCTGTCCCCAAGGAGAGGCTTCGAGAGAGGGAAGTACTTTTGCAGGACCTTGTCAGTGCTGGAAGCAAGCTTGCTTATGGGAAAGAGAGTGTATCTGGCAGTTTTGTTCATCAAAGGATGCAGATGAAGGCAGAAGCAGGTGAGGGCCAGTCAATTTCATGGAAGGATTGGAATGGGGCTCGAGGACTTCTGAAGTCGTTATCGTTTCAGGAACGTCTACTCAAAAGCTCAGAATCTTTCTCAGAAAAAGAAACATCGACATCAAGGACCGAGCGAAAGCATAGGAGAGGGGGTTCACTCGAATTCCCACAAGAGACAGAAAAGATGCCATTCAAAACACAGGAGGAGATCTCACCATCCACTTCTGAAAGAAATGTTAACACCGTGCCATCGGTCAGATATCGCAGTCAGGAAATGGCTCGGGATGATCCTTTGTACAGAGAGGCGTCAGAATGGACAGAGCTACGATCGACAGAAGCCACATCCGATGACGGCTCCATGCAGCTGGAGGACACTGAAGACGAGGAAGACTATGCACTTGTTCAGAAGGAAATTGAATGGCTGAGATCATCTCGTGAAAGAGATCTAACCGAGGTAATGTTTGACCTCTGTTAGATTAAGTATCCCTGTCAGATTGCATATTCAGGGCTCTCAGGACAACCCCACCAGGGCCTGCCTCATTTTGTGTATGCTCAAGTGTGGCCACCTTCATCTCATGAAGATTGCATGATCAACAGCTGGTCTAGGCTGGATATGCGACTGTTCTGTGCCCACCTATGGAACAATGTACCCTACTTTTGCATCATGGAATGTTCCTCACTCGCCCATACCTGCGGCCATCAGCATGGTGTTCCTCAACTGCAAAGCACACACTGTAAAGGGTCACAAAAGACCAATGCAAGGAACCATCAATGAGAACAAAAACTTTCCAGCAGTGAAAGACTCAAAGCAGAACCAACATACATAAGCAAAGCAGAACGTAGAATTACAAAGCCAAGAGCACAGGAATTCAGCACACACTGACACCAAATTCTCTTGATAAAGATAACCCGACTTCTTGCCACCGCACATCAATCCAACGACAATGTTGTAGTTCTCCGATGATGTGACCTCCTGTACTGCCATCCTACTCACTCTGCAC